CGGGGGCAAGGCTGGAAAAAAACGGTTAGAGAGGGAATGACGGCGCCACAGTGGTCTGAGGGCGGCAAAAACCCAAAAAATTTTAATTTGTTACCTTTGTATGTTAAAGATAAGTAATTGAATATGTTTAAAGAGTACCCCTTATACGTCTGTTTACTCGATCTTAATAATACCCATAGTGATTAATGAGTCATTAATCACTCTCATTAATCACTGCTGTCAGAAGCTTCCTTGATTTATTATAATATTATATTGTTTTGCTATAAACAATTGTTGGTTTTTTAAATTTTATCGTATAAACCACTAAATATTGTCAATTCAGTTCTGTACATATAAAAAAAAATAAAAAAAATAATTTTCCTTGACCAGATTCGAACCCGGGACTCGCTACACAGAGCCATTACCAACTTTGAATCTCTGTGTCGTATATCTGTTTCTTAACATACTTAATGTAAGAAAATTTTCCAACACAAAAGCTTCAACAAAAATAGTAGTCGTGGATAAAGTATACTACTCGCGTATAATGGTTATTATTCACTCGTTGTATAATATACTATTAAGTACCAATAACCTCCATATTAATTTATTTATAACCATGAGAAGTCGTCACACAATAAATAAGCATATTTTCACGATCGCTTGGTTAAAGCCATAAGACATATTTTGTTTGTGATTTGTTGAGTTTTGCAAAATTGATCCAGTTGTATTAGGTGCATGTACAGGGTGCTGCATTTTGGATATCCGAATAAGGAATCTCCGAAACTAAGAGGTTTAGCTAAAAACGAGTAATACATTCTCATTTTTTTGAGAAAATAATATTGGTGAAAACCGCATCCCGCTATCGTCTTTTGTTTTCGACTTAAAGACAAAAGTTGACATTTTGGCGAAATCTAAAAAAATTCATATCTTCGTTAATATAGAAGATACAGATTTGAAATAAAAACATTATACAGGCACTTTTTTACGTAGAATTTAATAATGTAGTTAACAATTTTTTTTCTGTTGTTTGTTTAGCCGTAATAAAATAAACTTGTATTCTTTTAAATGAGAATCATAGATGGCTATGTCATTTTTAAAAAGCTTGTTTTTTTCTTATCTAAAAAATATATATTTCTAACAAATTATTATAATACATTTTTAGCAATACATTATCTTTGATTTTTGTTCGCAATTGGCCATGAAAAAATGTTGCATCTTCAACTAAAAGAATTTAAACTATATTATATTCAACCAGTGTCACTAATGAAAGAGTTTTCTAAGTACTAAGTAATGAAAAAAAATGCAAAATAAATCGTAAATCAACTTATTGGCGACTAATAACATTTCTTTGTTTTTAAACAAGCTAACATTACCATTGCAACTTCTAGTGATACATAGAGTGTTGTAAAAAAAGCCGTTTTAATTCTTTAATAAAATATATTTTATATGACACAAAAATGACGATATGCCTATTCAAATACCCAAATTCCGTCTATGTGAAACGTTATCCTACCTCCATTAGGCCATCAAAAAAATGTTTTTTCTAATTGTGTTGACTCTTGACACATTTGTTTTTCTTATTTTTGGATTTTTTAAAAATATGTAATAATTTTGTTCTGAGGCGCTCGGATATTTGTTCAATGCTTTTACCGTATCGTATTTTTTAAATCTTTATAATTTTATCTATTTTTTCATCTATTTTACAGTTCACAAAACTATTATTATTTACACATTTGGAGTGAAATAGTTTTTCCATGGCCAACTATTATCACACAAAATATGTATTTCATTTTTTAAGTGTAATTATAAAAAAATATTCTGTTACAAATATATATTTTTTAGATCAGAAAAAAATAAATACAAGTTTATCTTATTACGGCTAAACTAATAACTGAAAAAAATTGTTAACTACATTATTAAATTCCTCGTAAAAAAGTGCCAAAATGTCAACTTTTGTCTGTAAGTCGAAAACAAAAGACGATAGCGGGATGCGGTTTTCACCAATATTATTTTCTCAAAAAATGAGCACCAGAATGTATTACTCGTTTTTGGCTAAACCTCTTAGTTTCCGAGATTCCCTATTCGGACATCCCTGTACATCGAAACAAGTTTTCAAATAAATTTGGAAACAACTTTGTTTAATAATTTTGAGAACACCAAATTTTTGTAAAATCAAAAACATGTATTTTTTTTCTTGTAAATGGTAATTCAAACACTAATTTTTTTTTAGTTTCTTTTGTAGGTAAATATGTATGCAGAGGTAAAAAATAATTTTAATTGTTGAAAGCTGTATTGATATTGCCACGTGTTCTCATATTGAATTAACAACTATAACATTGAAAGGGTGTTTCGAAAAATGTTATTTTTAGTCTAGATTGAATGAAAAAGCCTAAAACTCTATTCAAAACCAGTTCTTCAGGTGTCTTATTAAATATAAAGATTTTTTGAAGTTTTTGCCGTTTTCATGCCAGTTTCGACCACTGTGCGGCGTCTCCTGGTGGTTTTACTCGTTGTTGGTTTGGTGGTCGTGGTGGTTTTGGCGGTCGTTGATGGTTCATTATTGGCGATTAGGTTGAAATCGATGGATTCGGTTGTGGTGGTTGTGGTTGGAGGTTTGGTTTGGAATGCGGAGCGGACGCAAGAGTCGCCGACTTGACGGAATGGAGTGTTGCATTGGCAGCGGCCGAATAAGTTGGGGATGAGGAAGTCGCAATGGCTGTCGGCGGTCCAGAGACGGCAATGGGCGTTGCTGTAGCACACGTTGCCGGGCCGGGCCGCTGAAAATTTTTTTTTTTTCAAAAAATCTAGTAAAATAGTAGATTACATACCGAGGTGGGAAGTGCTKCATGATGAAGCAACGACCACCAAGGTTTGTATACTATTTTATTCACAATCATCTTCTTTCAAGAAAAGAAAACCAAGAAACAATTTATCAATTTTAAAAAACATGACATTATAATATTTCATATCAATTGTTAAATGAAGATGAAATGTCATACTTTTTAC